AGTGCGAGCCATCATTCCTACAAAGTGACAGGGCACCTGGCCCCGATGGTCTGTACCTCGCTTTCTACAAAGTAACTGGTGAGGTCCTGCTGAACAGCATGACGACTCTACTGCGGCAGATTTGGAGAAGAAACAGAATATCACTGCTCCGGTAAACTAATCTATCTACCACTTCGATTGGCTCGTCTAGAAGGCATAAAATTTAGGTTTGATCACATCCAATCTCGTAGAAGTTGTGAGGTGCATACCTAACCGTTAGGCAGAACCATTACGAACATTTAAAATCGTTCGCGCTTTCGAAAATCCGAACCGAGGAGAGCAACGTGATCAAACCCAAATCGTATGCTTTCTAGACAAGCCAATTGACGTGGCAGATAGATCAGTTTACCGGAGCAGTGGTATAAGTCCGGGTAGACTGGCTAGAGACGAGATTACTCCCCGAATCGGGAAGTTCAGCGTGGTCTTCGTCAACCTCCGACACCTTCAGCGCCGACGTGACGTCAGTTCGTCGGTCAAGGGCAGAGTTTACACTGCGACGCTGCGATCCACACGGCAGCGAGATACCAGTGTTTAACACTTATGCCACGCTAGTGATGATGACGCTCAAGTCGGGTGAAAACATCAGATTGGCAATATTGACGTATACCAGATAGTATAAGGAAGAAGGTACTCCGACAACGGATGAATTACGCACGTTTCGTAGGTTATGCCGGTTAGGATAGGTGCTTCGCATGCCAGAGTACTGTCTTCCTTTCTTTTCACCCGCCCTGTGCTGAGCAGAAGCGACCGAGGGTGGACATTGTGTAACCGGGTGACAAAGTATGAAAACATTAACTAGTAAGCTCAATCGGGTCGACAGCTGTGGCCTCCCTAGATGGTGACCCCTGGACTCAATGCATCAAGGCTTCAAGATACTGGAAGAAGTGGCCCAGTCGTGTAGTTGTCGGTGATCGTGCATCAACGTTTCCGGCCTCAGTGCGTAGCTGTCCAGTTCCTGAGTCAACAGAACGTGTAATTTCCTCAAGCGCTTGGCTGTCCCCCCACGCTCGCCCACATTTCGGTAGTCGAAACCGTAGCACCTAGAACCAATCTACCCATGGTACATGGTTCATAGCTGATAAACTGATTTTGAATTGAAATGAATCAAATTTCGAGATAAAGTGCTAGACTGAATAAGATGCCATCCGATGATAGTTTCCAGGTGTCCACCAACGTAACGTGACACCTCTGATTTCATGTCATTTCCTAAAACAAAAAGGTAGGAGTGCGTAGAAGAGTTTGTGAACCCAGAAAACCACATCGGTAACTTAACTACACAGTACTGTCATAAAATACCTAGTTACTAGCTGGTATGGCGTCTCCACCAATGTTGATTCACAGACTTTAAAATTTATAAGAAACAACCAGACTAAATTCAGCATTTTCATGCGGCAATAAAGCAGACAGGTTTTATCTATGAATTCTTGTCTCAATCAAGCGTCAGCACACACGTTATTTTGACACATGCTCCCTTAATAAAGGGCTCTCTATATAGTGCAATCTTACGCTGTTTACACCCACTGCGTGGCACAGTTGCGTAAGGCATAGATGGATCGATCGGTGACCGTGTTTCACTCGACATGGAACAGCAGTCAGTCGAACATGACCTTGGCGGCACTAAAATAGGCTATCCACTTATAGACGTACAATTTAAAGGCTCTTTTCGAAACTTGTTTCCTTTGTGGACTAAACATTAAGTAGAAGCAGCAGCTAATGAGAAACAAGTGGAAAATGAACAAAACACTGCCACAAATTTCGAAAATGTAAGGGATTACGATTGGAAACCATGGATCTGTGAGACTCCAATTTCAGATATTGTACTGTTTCCGTAAAATGATCGAATAAGATAGCCAGAAATTCTTGCTGGACTAGACTGGAGCGTAGCGCCCAAGACACATTCAAAATATTGATTACATTAACCCCGTTTTTAGAAACTCAAACAGTAACTCTGAATCATGAGTTTTACGCAAGAAAGTGAAGGTGCGCAACCAGTATCTGCATGTCTAAACATGAACCGGTCTGCTGAAAAGCTGTTTAGCACAATCATTCGCCATTCCCAAAACACGCCTTTTGAAACAACAGTCAGCTGTGAACTACAACAGATTCATTCTGATTTTGTGGGATTCCGCTGTTCGGTGGAAACGATTTGTCTAAATCAGCCAACGGAGTGAAGTGTGACCAATGCACCTCACAGGGTCGTTAGTTTGTTCAGAGGTGGGAATCGAATAACACCATCAGTACCTCACTCTATGGTGGTGCAGCACTGACGTCAGCAAGCCTTCACAGTCTGAGATGACGATATTATCTTCACGCCTTCTATCTTCTCCAAAATAGACTGTCGAATACAGTTGTTAAATGAAGGTATAGTCAGAACTTATAAGTCCTCGCAAAGAATGAAACTGGTGCGTCAAGTGATAGGTTGTTCCATATAGTTTTTCGTTTCGAGCAGCAACGGTTCGACTGGATTTTCGGACCAATACTCATTTTCTTCTGACAGTGACATTCATTTATCAGTGGAATGAGCAGAATAAGCATGAATTCAACAACATTAAAAGCATGTACTTCAGTCTCACTCAAAGCCAAGGTTAGGTGAACAACCTGGTTAGAATGAGCGCCGGAAACGATGTATTACTACCCAAATCAAAAGTTGTGGATGACAAGAATGCTATTGAAAAGAATTCTGTTGATACAGACACACCCAAGGATGACGTGGACAGTGACAAAGTCAGTCTTGGCTGCTGAGCTTCTAAATAGCTCATTGGACTGCGCGACAAGTCAAACCAAGTCTACAATGCTGTATGCATAAGCCATTCTTTTTTTAAAAACACTAAATCGATCCCCTTCAAGTCTGTGTTGGTATTATAGTTGTGCGTAAATCGCCTTTTTGAATATATACTCAACGAAGTTGAAACTGAAATCGCATTGAAATTTACTGTGGTCATACCAAGGGCTTCAGGGGAGTTATTACCCAGAGGTACTTATCTGTAAGAGACGATGAAGCACTTATTGAGATATGAGAAAATCTAGAAATATTGATGAGCCAGAGATCCCCTTTCTATGCCGAACAGGAGCCAGAACCAGATTAGAAGTGTTTACCACTCATTACTACGAGGCACAAAGGTCAGAGTCATTCGAAGTACTGCATGGCTGCTCTACGCCTCAGCGGCCTCTAGGTGCTCATATTCAACCCTCGTCCATCTGTTCAAATGTGAACAGAGGCAAGCACTTTTGCACTAACCTATCTGAGTAGTGTATTGGACGAACCTCGTTCAATCAACTTTTACTAATAAAGGTTACTAACAAACGTATTAGCTGATCTAATCTGAAATGCTCGCCTAAAAAAGGAAGGACGCCTCATTTGGGAGTTTAAAGAACGTAACTTCAGTTTAGCCTCAGTCTCCCAGACACTTGGTTATTGTTACCAGTGCATCTGAGCCATAGATGCACGAACGTAGTGAGTGCCTGGCGCAATCACGTCCATTGAAGTGAAAAAACTCTCGCACAGGCGCAAAAGCTACCTAAAAGCCTGAGAACTACTGAGATTTCAGTATACCTCCGCGTAAGACATAGGATATGGCTTTTGTGAGTCATGCCTGAGACGAAGGGGCGAAAAACACTCGTGAATTCATGTGGATGTTCCGTCGAAGAAAGAACTATAAAAAGTAACACAGCCAAAACCGAAGCATCGAATTCATCAAAGCACGGAGACGGCGAAGACCAGACGAAGCGACCACCTTTCAACTAAGCTGAGAACCCGATCGACGGAGCCAGTTTAATCAACCGGCATATCCAAAAGCGAAAACCCTGGTGTTCGATAGGCAGGATACCTTCCGCTGCAGTTGTCGTTAGGATAGCAGAATGAACAGTGCTTGCAGACGCGAAACAATAGGTATTTTCGGTCATCTTACCCACCTAATAAATTCTCGATACTCCACACCACAGCTGACCGATGCCCGAGATCACGCACGTAAGACCGCATTTTTGTCTCGTTCTGGCAGTGTGCTAATTTCAGGGGTTCGGTCACGTAAAAAATGGATCTACTTCACTCAAACGTGATGTTGGTGTGCTAACATGTAACCGTTCTGATTCTGCCCTGAAACTCTTCGTGAGATACTATTTGGTTCTTTATGCAGGGCTTATGCATGGGTCCGCCCCATTTAAAGATACCTCCGGGCATACAGAACTCCAGTAACCAACCTAAAGGAGCTTCGTTTGCGATGCAACAGGAGTGAATCATTTTTATTCAACGGCAACCATTGCCGCCAGCCTGATGGGGAGTAGCCAGGGTGTCTCTCGATTCCCCCTGTCTAGGCCTGGGCAACCTGACAGTATCCCAGCCCTCGTGCATCCTTCGGGTGGAATGGCAGCTGGGCACCGAAAGGGCGCTACAGCTGAACGATTATTTATTATGGTGTCTGTTTTCGGCTCTATGCTGGTCGATATCTTTAGGAACAGGCTGGAAGACATCACTTGAGAACGACATATCCTAATATAAGATGGAAACTGAAATCCAATGAGTATTTAGGGGCTATTTAGTAATGCACACATCTTGATAAACTCTAGATGCGAGGTGGAACGGAAAGGCATGTTGGGCTCCCTGGATGCATTGCCGCAGCGCCCAAAGAGTTAATCAGAGAAAAACAACATGGGTCGAACAATGCACCAATTTCTCCAGCTTTGTACCACTGAAAGTAGAACACAGATAATGGCAACGGGAATATGCCTGTCAGAAGATGCTGACCCCCTGTTTAGCGCACTTCACAATAAAGGCTACCCTGGTGGGTCCCCGGAAGCCAATCTACGAACACCTGAATCAAATGCGCTTAACCAGTATATGCCAAGGAAGCCAAAGTACTCACGACTGCATTAGAACGGCGGTTTCGTCAACCACATATTCTCACACGAAGTAGCTAGGACGTCTTCGCGCACATTTCATGCTATGCACCTTCTTCTTATGTTTATCAACCGTCCAGAATATAGACAAAGACTGTTTGCGGAAAAGCAGAAAGATCAATTGGCTCGCTAGGCCACCTTGTGTCTACCAGTTCGCTTGCTCCTGCGGGGTTCGCTGCCATCAGCCGGACGACGACAAATTCGTCCGCACGCAGTTCCAAACCTATAACTTCCTGACCCTCCGAAGATTTCGTTAGGACTGTTCTGGCAAAAGTTGTAGATTCTGAAACGGCACTTACTATTATCCAATTCGTTGGTCCGAAGTTATCACGCAGATTCGGGTCTAGAACGCACGCCATCGCAGAATCCATGGCACACAGGTATGAGTTCTGTTCGAAAGCTTCTGGTTAAAGTTCTTTGCTTACCACGGCCTAACCAGTTCGGACCGGCTATCAATGACCAGGGGAGATTACAAGACGACCCTGATTCCTCATCCCGTCTTTCATCATGAAAGATGTAATAGTATGGATAGCACTGAGATCATAACCCGCCGAATACTATATTCAGAACAACGTTACGGAAATAACTAGTGATAGAAATTCCGTCATGAATATACACGGGATGTTGGTCTCGGAAATCATCGTCTATCGTTTTGGTTGGCGTGGTCAATTATGTACATGAGATATTACAGAGCATAGACGAGGGCGGTAAGCGAGACAATGAACAAATGTTGCCGTGTCGCAAGGGAAAGATCGGGCGTGAACAAGAGTTTGGACGGCAAAGTCATACAACAGAAGATTGGAAAAAAGTGAAGGTTTGACATAAAAGTGTATACATTTGTCGGCAGCACTAAAGGAGTCATCCAGGCTACATTCACGAGAAAGCGGATTTGGAGATGAAGGGCATCAATAGAGGTAAAAAAAGTAAGAGACCAGAAGACATAATAAATAGACAAGATGATTCTGTCGTACGCAGATCGTGTGTGCTCAACAAATTCCTTGTACCGGTGGATGAACATGACAAAAAACTGTACAAAAGAAGCAGAGATCAATATTCACGGGGATATGTACAAACAGAATTCATCGAGTTGAACAACACATAGCACATCCAAGTTCATACATGTGAACGTAGAAAAGCAAACGATGGACGATAAAAACCCGTTGCTTTGAAGAAAATGGATACTAGCGAATCCTTCCACTTTGTGGCGAAACATGAGACTTGAATGATCAAGAATGCATGAATTACACAATCCGAGCACTCGGACAAAGTCTTGGTGCCGGCGAAGTGGGCAGTTATGTACATAGTAAGGCCAATAAGGAAAATGTTGACCTACAAAGACTGACGTTGTTGTTGAAGAATCTGGTTATGCTGTTGTTGTTGTTGCTGCTGAAGCGCATGCTGCTGCTGTTGATGTTGCTGATAAGCTGCCATGAGGTTCGCCTGTTGCTGGGCTTGGTGTTGCTGATATTGCTGTTGTTGTTGCAACGCCACAGCAGCCATGGTAGATCCAGCGCTCGCTAGATTGGCATGTGCGCCATTGTTAGTAGCAGCAAGCATCAAGCTTGGATGGTGGTGCTGATAGAGCGCCGCGGCTAACTGATAGCAACTGTTCATGGCTACTGCGGAGTCTGGCTGAGTCATTGCTAGTTGAGCGTTGGTTTGTTGTAGAATTTGACCCTCTTGTACGGAGGTGGATGTATTATTGTCCACACCACCACCAGAACCATTGGTACTCGTGAGAGTGGTCACGGAATTCGAAGTGGGAACACCGTTCGGTTGAACGGCACTTGCTGCAGCCGCTACGGCAGCTAGGCGTTGTTGGTGCTGTTGTTGGAGCAGTAGTTGCTGCTGTTGCGCTTGTTGATGAGCGACAGCGTGCTGAGCATCGGAGTAGCCCGCCACAACCTGCAAACCCGTGGCTGCTGCCAGGGCGGAAGCTGACAAGGCGTTGGCTGAGACTGCTGGTAGCACTGTCCCATTGGTAGCGCCGGTCTGTTGCTGGGCGGCGGCAGCAGCTGCAGCTGCTTGGGCCTGAGCAGCCGCGGCTAAGGCGAAGCTAGCAGGATCGGCCGACGAAGCCAAAATTAACCCTGCTGGCATTCCTTCGGTGGGATTGCAGAAAAAGCTTGCAGGAGCTGTTCCAGCAGCAGATCCACTGGTTGGAAACAGAAGGTTGTGTGCGGCCTGTTGACGAGCGGCCAAGGCGGCTGCCTGCTGCTGCTGAATCTGTTGTGCTTGTTGGTGGAGTTGAAACTGTTGTACAGGGCTAGCTTGTAGATTAGCGACACCAGCCTGGCCAGCCCCGACAACTTGCTGGTGGCCCGAGACCGCTACCAACTGTGTGCCAGCAGCAGCAGCTGCGGCGGCCGCTGCCGCGTAACTTGCATGGTGTTGCTGCAGCAACTGTTGCTGTTGTTGCGCCGCTACAGCTTGTTGTTGTTGGAGATGCTGTTGAAGTTGCTGCTGTGCCCCCGCTGGATGAAAACCGACCATCTGAGGGAAAACGGCATGGCCAGCCTAAACAGTGTAGAAAAAGACAACAGTGAGTAGAATATAAGTGGTAGATACCACTTGCTGTACGCACTATTTGAGTATGTTGTTCAGCTACAATGCTACTGCAAAAGTTTATTTGAGCATTACCTTTTGTGTACACGAGGTACCTAAGGGAATCGGATTGTTTGGGAGTGAGATTCAGTCTAACTGCTCCACAACCTATTCTTCCTGGTCCAAAATGAGGTTTCTGATATTAGCAGAGTCGAGAGTTTAACTGAAGATTACTGCTGAGCCAAATTTTACACGAACGCCCCTCTTCTTATTGAACTGAAGAGCGTATACCGGTGAATATAATGCACAGTGGCGGAGCATACTGGCGGATACTAATAGAAAGGGATACTGTCAACATGTGATAGGTTTCTGTGACTGACAATAAGCGGTGGCATATTGTGCCTAAGCGCGAGTTAATCACAATGTTGACCGACTGTTCGTGGCCGAACGGTTAAGTGTCCCAACTACTAAACGCGTGGCTGCGGGTTAGAAACCCCCAGGAGTTTCGTGAGACATTCACAGCTGATGATTCCCAAATAGGATAAAATAGATGTACAGCGCTCCTCGGGTTTTCGCTATAGATTGGCTTCACTTGCGGGACTACATCTCACTAGGAAATTAGCAAATTTTCCCCACATTACCATCAGTTGTATATAATAAGCGCGTGCTACTTCATCACAACATGAAGTCTTGTGGACAGGATGAGCAGAGTGATTGGCTTTCTTCGTAATCTTGTTCCGAAAGTTGCTATTGTTTTCAGTCACCAGGAATTTGGAAGCGCATCTTCTTGGAACGTAAATCTTACAGGACAAGAATCCGACTGAATTCGAGCAGGCTTGATAACTGTGCTTATTTAAATTATCAGTGTTGCTCGCTATTCTGTCCTTTGGAGCATATGACAGAAACGAAAGATCTGGGTAAGAATGCCTACCCTAGAGTTAGATTCGGTTTGATTAATCAATGTATCCGAACAGTATGGCCTGGAAGTGAAATAAAGCTGCAAACGCCAATTATATGCAGGTTATCTTTCAGTAAGAATGGCCGCGACGCACCGCGGCGATTCCGAATATGCGACTTTCCCTTCACCTCATTTCGGGAAAGAAAACACCCGTCGTACAATTATTTATATAGGTCTCCGTTATTGGATCAAAGTGGAGTAATAAAGATAAAGCGTGCTCTGAAACATTGAATGGGCTGATTTACTTGGTTTACACAAATATTCAGGTCTGAGAAACGCAATCGTCTAGCTGGTATATGGATACAAAGTTGGCGCCATCATATTTTCCTTTTACAACCGATGTAATTCTCCGAGCGCGTTAATAAATTCATGGACTAGAATGAGGAATGGAGCAGAACCCAAAATTTTTAGTTGACGGAACAAACTGTCCACAAGGTTGTTGGAAGCTCTTCGATAGCGCGCAGCAGGTTTCGCTCTTTTTGGAGCTTATCAGACAGGTGATCAGTTTTGTTTCCTTCTTAAACACCAAACTCGCGCTTAGTCGATGAGCCTCCAAAAGGGCGAGTTTCCAGTAACCTTCTGAGAAGTACGCTCAGTCAGGAATAGAAACTCAAATACCGTATCAACTGAAACATGAGGCGGCGATTGTGCAGCATATTCGATTGAGGACTACCATAAAAGCGATATTCAGCAGCGCTAAACATTAACTTAGCCGGCCAAACTGCTTATTTGAACTACAACCACAATTCTCCTTTGAAAGAACACAGAATGTCGTCCAAAATTATACCACCCAAGGTGAAGTATTCTCTATGAAAGCCATAGACGTGTGAATGAAGTTACGACGAGGAAAAGCCACAAGCTTGAAAAGCTTGTGGACGGCTTCTGAATAGTTTAACTTGCATTTTGTTGGGATTTACAAGACATGATTCAGTTGCCAAAGACTGTGATCTACATGAAAACTAGGTTGCTCCAGCACCCAACTCACCAAACATCTACCTAAGGGAACAACACCCATAAATGCCAGTGCCATTGGTGACTTTCAGTGGGCCAGGCGTTGACGTCGTCCTGACGCTATCGGGTACCAACTATTATGCTACTGGGCAACAATGCAGCGAATCAGGTGCATAAGCGCCCCAGGTAGCTCAGTTGGTAAAGTTCAGGAAGCGGGAAGTCAGTGGTTGAAGTCCATTCTCAGGCGCGTCCTTCGCTCATGTTATGTTTACCCAGACTTCACAGTTCGACCTGCGCAGCTGACAAACTGTTATCCAGAGAGTCATGCCACTTATCGTTGTAATGCCCAATAAGGACGTAAAGGTAGCCGAGGTTTTCGGAACTGATCACATCTCTAATTAAGACTCAATGAAATTCCGAACATACAACAAGGTAATTATCAGTTTCTTCGTCGGGATCGATGATCGGTCAGGATAAACAAACCGAAAATTCCCTGTTAGGCAAGTTGCCACGTATAAACAAACAGCACCATCGAAGACATTTATTTTTTCAGACAAAGCTGTTGCCTAATTGTTCCCAGTGGAACTTTATAAAGCGAATACATAAGCTCTAGATATCAGTCCGCTGCTCCACGAGCTCAGAGACAGTGAATGAACCAGGTGTTCAGGTCAGCAGCTTACCTACTGAATCCATTTAGCTGTAATTACTGCCAAACTGGTCCGCTTCAGCGTTGTGTATCTTCGACCATGCTCAGGCCGAAGTCAAATTGGTTGATTCGCAAACTCTTCCTTCAAGTCTCCCTAATCACGACACTATCATTCCCTTATTCTAAAAATGCACCTCTCCAACCTAGGGTCTTCAGGCTTAAAATCAACACACCCAAGGCCAGATAGTTAACGAACCTACTTGAATTGTTGGAGTGGATTGCGCGGACGTGTCCAAAGACCGTACAGTGTGATACGAGCGCATGAAATGCTATCATGGCTTAATCTGTTTCCATTCAGAACTTAATAGTCTGCCATAAAACGTGTCATCCTGACATACTTTTATGGCCAAAACTTTTTTCGTAAGATTCTTCGATCATGTGGAAGGGACTGTTCCCAAGAAGATTTCTCAGACGTCTTTAATGTAGTACAACGTGGAGCGACGAGTAGGCTAAACCAATAAACTAATATGCTAGCATTATGAAAGCGATTGTGTGATGTAGGCGATAGGTTTAATGAAAAGCTGCACTTCCGGTGGAAGTAGGAAATAAAACTGGAATAGCACAGCAAATCTGTGAATTTCCGTATATTTCTATCGTTTGCCTTCCATACAGTATCGCCAACTGTCTCACAGAAATTGCTCCCAAAATAAACAAAAAGCTTCCGTATAAACTTAAGACACATAGTTGGCTTTCTTATTCTTTCCTGGTATCATGTCCATGGCGATCTAGAAAGTCCAGAATGAACTTTCCTCATCACCGAATACAAGTGATATGGTCCACCGCGCTTGTATTACGTTGGAAAAACGAAACCTCCCTTGTTCCCGTGTACTTTGACTTAGGGGAAACCTGAAGTAAACCTGCTCCGGGCTTACACTGAAATTGCAAGTGCTTTTCAGACCATATGCATTGGCTATGATGAGGACTTGGCGGTCGTCCAATCGCTTTCTTACCACACTCTTGATTACACTGGCATTTCCAAGTAATAGTCCGAAAAAAATTGCTCAGCGGTAGCACCATTTCGGTGCCTAGCTGCCATGCCACACGAAGGAGGCACGAGGGCTGGGATACTGCTAGGTTGCCCGAACCTAGACAGGGGAAGTCGAGAGGCAGAGGTCGGGTTCGAACTACGGACCTTCCGGTCAGTAAATCCGCGCCCTAACCACTTGAGCCAATAGTCCAAAAGATTGACGGGTAATATATTAACAACGGTCTATCCAGTTTGATCTTTTCTGCGGTGATACTCATTCTCGTTTCGGTCCCCAGTATGATGAACCACGTGTGACGAGAATGAGGCATCGACCAAGTTAACTCGAAAACAACTTCTTCAGTGGAAATCACTCAGCAATGAAGCCCGAAACCCATTTCTGTGCACCATTCCTGGAAATGCATCGCTTCTACAATACAGCTCTGACTTATTTTGATTATGATGGTGTTCCGCATCCAAGCCCAACAGTTCCACTGTATTAAGTAGCCACTTGGACTAGGGCAAGCTCATTTCAAGTTGAGTGTGCGAAAATAATAGGGCTGTTGTAATAGCATCACGAGAAGAGTAGGACGAGGACAGCTGAAACAAATAACCTTACTTTATATACTGTGGCACGGCGGTATTCATTGGAAAAATCCCTTCTTGGAAAATTCGACAGAGTTGACATTCTTACCTGGTTCAGTTCTCTTTCACGGGAGGACATCACTGGTTATCCGGAAAGTGCGTACCGCATACACTAACATGTACCGGCTGTCGAGTAGGATATGATAAGAATCACTTAGCTGTAGCATCCTTTCAGTGCATAGATGCCATGCCACCAAAAGGCGGAGATAATGTCAGGTTGTTCAAGCCTAGACAACAGCAATCGAGATGCCAGGGTCGGGTTCGAACTATGGACTTTCTGGGCAGTAAGTTTGCGCATTAATCACCTAGTTATCTCAAACTCCAAGGGATGTAAGGCAATACTTCAAACATTTTTCATTGGACGGACGGCATCTTTTACCGACATCCTTTTACTTTGTATGAAATAGAGATTCGCGACCGTAGGAAAAGTCTCAAAAAGTATTATACCTCTCGCTAAACTCACTAAGATACAGTATGAATGGGGAAATTGGTTACGGAAGCCAACGATTCACTGATCTAAAAGGTAGCCCTACACTGAACATTTCCGTGACATATTTTGGGACAAGCCAATAAAATAATCGAACAACTACATGAACTGAGTTCATCGTTAGCGGACGAACGCACCGTAAACAGTCGTTCAGTTGTTTTTTATTGGCCTTAAGGGACTTATCAGGACCTACCCTAGGTGAGCATACTCTTTATTCGCACTCCTCCCAAAAGTGACAACTAGGGGGTATCTGCATGCACCAAATTCACTGCTGCCTAACGGATGTGCTTTGAAAACAACACAAGTGCGTTAGCAACGAAGAGACATAGACCATGGTGGTTTACTCACACGCGCCAAATAACTATGATCCATTAAAACAATCAAATACACCCAGGTACAAGTAGACGCTGTCGTGCATGATGACACAACAACGACTACTTAGACAGTATGTGTGCGAAAAGTATGCCAAACGGACGAAATAAACAAGCATCCTACGTTAAAAAATACACTAATTTGCATACTAGTTTGGGTTTCACGGGAGACTCGGCTGAATTTCTCATTTATGACATGCTTCAACTGAATATACTGCACAAATGTCATTTCATAATTCAGTTGGTATGTTATTCGAGATATCTCAGTAAATTTGCCTGAAGGAATTAACTCATACGTTTAATGAAGGTGTTTTTCAGCATCCTTGTGAGTAGTATCCTTGGGAAGCATCTTCGGAGGAGTAAACCGGAGTATGAAAACTACCCTATCGCTTTCTTCTACATCTTCGTAGCCAACGTTCTGTTGCATCCTTGTGGAACGTTGGACAGGATAAGTAAGACTGTTGGATTGTCATCCTCAGTACTGTTAATTCGCCTTTGTGAAGCCGACAACTTCTACTTTAGCATCATCACTAGAAAAACTAAAAGCTAGAGACCAGATGGTTATCAGGTCCTCCGTGACGGTATTGAAATATCGCGGACAATGAGCCGACTATTTACAGGTAATTAGGTTCCTAACAAAGTTGATGCATGGGCTGAGCAAATGAAATAGTTGGATTCAACCTTGCGTTGCAACCAGCCACGTATGGACAAACTTCGATATTACCCAAAGGGCTACTGGTAGGGATTGTCTTTTGGGGTGCAGTGTCTGACATTCAATAAAAGTAATGGGGTGGAGGACGCCGCCATTGTTTGGATGTTTTTTTTTATTTGGGGCATGAATACACTGAAAATGTATCAAGAGACACTCACTAAAGGATGAGCTTGTGCAGCCTGATTAGCCGCCGCAATGCGAGTCCACACCATCATCGGGCCAGAAGGAGTGGCTACGGCCTTCAATTCCGGCTGGAGATGAAACTGTTGCTGCACGGCAGAAGCGGCCGATTGTTGTCGCTGCTGCTGCTCTTGTGCTGTGGCTGATGACTGAGTCAAGTTGGTTGGAACAGCAGCCATCGCAAAAAACTGTTGCTGTTGTTGCTGAAGTGCCTGCTGGTGTTGTTGATGCTGCAAAGCGAAAACAGACGGGTGGGTAGCTTGGGTTATTGTGGTCATCGCTCCCCCGGGAAGCATGACTGCCGCTGCAGCAGCCGCTGCGGCTTGTTGTTGCTGAACCAAATGGTGTTGGGCTGCTGCTTGGGTCAATGTCATTGTAGGCAACATCAGTCCAGAAGCAGCCCCTGTCACAAAAACAGGTGTTGAAGCATGAGCGGTGGGAGCTGGTGGAAAAGTGTTTAGACCAGCGGCGGCTGCTGCGGCAGCAATGGAGGCAGTTACACTGTTCGCGGACAAGCTGGAATCGAGTACCGTTGAAGACGGTTGTGACGGAGACCCACCGTCCTCTAATTTTGTTCGCAGGCACGCTGAGGCTTGGGATGATCGGCCATTCACCGATTTCAGAGCTATCCGGTTTGGTTGACTAGCTAGCTGGTCGGCGCTTGAGGGAGAGGTATTCCCTGCTGAAATCAAGCTCCCATTGCTTTTAGACTTTTTCTTGTTTAATTTGACAGGTGCTAGACCTGAAAAACATCAAAGAAAAGTAATACATTGATTTTTGGGTTTACGTCAAGAAAACCACTTCGCCGCGATAAACGGTCTACGAACAAAAAAGTGCTAATGACAGGAGTCCTGTTACTTACTCACTTCTTAGAAGGCCAAAAATGACAGAAGTCACGAGTCAAAATGTTGGTGTTTGAAGATATGTAACTACGCTTAGGTAGAAAAGCGTCTTGAGGGATAGTCACAGCCAAATAAATTGCTGCTTGGGGTCAGTTCACATTGAGAAAACCTGACGGTGAATAAACGTAGACAAAGAACCATACCGACCAACAGGTCATGCTTTGAAAAGTGATGTCGGAAGTTGTAAGGCAGAAAATCTACCAAATATGGCGGGAAAATGCATGCAAATAGTACGATAAGCTTCGAACCAGTTCACAGGTGAACAATCTGTGAAGCATTTGGGGTTCCACTCACTCTGATGTACTGGAAAACATTACTTTTACATACACGGACCGTGACCTTAACGTGTGTTCTTCAAATGCATTTGTTCAATCAGGCTATCTTGCTTGATGGCACCACGCCTAATGAACAGTTAATCGCGGCCTGGGTGACAGTAATTTAAACCGTTTCACGATGAAGTGTTCAGGATGAGTGTGCCGATAAATCAACTTGCGATAAATTTACCTATGATGAATGGACGACCATTAATTAGGCGGCTATCCCTACCCATCATATGGCAAATGTTGATAAGCTTCGCAGACTACTGGTTTACCATCCTACGTTAAGGGAGGCGTTGGCAACCATCCCATATAAGGTCTATGTGGTGAGATATAGAAGAGCGCCATGGAAACTCAACAATCGCAAGTGGCGAAAGTTGCAAAATTAGGAAAAAATTGACAACCGAGGTTTGAGGAAGTTCGGAAAAGACCCACTCTGGAAGGTCACGTCAACATAGTTTCTATAAAAGGCAGTGAACTGGGCCCCATAATTTCATGTAAGAATGTTCAGAGACATTGAAATCATATGATTCCCCACCAAGGAGGTAACTGGATGATAGCCCCTGTGCCGATAGAATAGAGGTTGTCAAAGCCTCGACAGTAGCAGTCGAAATGCCGGGGTTGGGTTAAAGACATCTTCTGATTTGTGGGTTGCGCTTTAATCACTGAGCCATTTCAGGCCTTGTTTGGAGCTAAGAGAAGGCCATTGTCTGCAATCACAAATTGGTGACTGACTAGTGTTTCTTCCGAAGTACCTGAATTTATTATACTTTCGAGCTAAGTAGGATAGGTGCTATGGGTCTCTTATAAAAGCCGATAGAGCTTTTGGACTGTTGGTATGGAAGCCATCCGTATAGAAGAAAACGACCGTACAATTCCCAACCAGTGCCGGAATCAGCGAACTACCTCTTACCGAAAAAGACTTAACACGTTGGAGAACAGATTGACACGGGATGTCGGTGTTCGGGTAGCGGGTTGTCTAATCTATACGATAGCTGATTATGAAACCCACCCAATGGTCCATATTACGGGTGCTTGATTGCTAAGGGATGGATTCGTCTTGTGAACAACCCACCACGGAAACCTATACCAAAGTCGAGAATGAGAGAACACCAATACAGGAAACAGGATTCCGTGTATATCTACAGGTGGCAGACTGGCGAACAAGAGCATTTTATAGTCAGACCCACAACATGCCTGCTCAGTTTGCATCACAAGAACTTTTTAATCGACTCAGTGGTAAAAGTGGCAACATTCGTGCAATTCGTCAGAGGATAGGATGGAGCATTCTCGTGGATGGTTGATGTGGGTCCGATGCACGTGGCTATCTTACTGTATTTGATGAACAAACCCCATTCTCAAGGTAGCAGGGAGAAGAGGGTAGCTCGAAATCACCAGCAAGTCGCTAAACGTTCATCTAGTTGACGTACCTTTTGAAATAGCGGCATAGCGCGATCGGTGAGAGACAGGTTGGTGACCACAAAGTTTGTGGTTCTGGCTCAATCAATGTTATTGATCACCCTAATCTGTGTTTCACTGGAAGGATGCTGGAGCCTCAGTTCCAAATTTTTAAATCTAATCAATAGAAAACGGTTGCCTATAAAAACATTCCCTGGCACTTTAACTTCATGTGTGCCGATAAATTCCAAACAAGTATATCAAGTACCGAAAAAGAGCCGTCGTATCCTCTGGGGATGTGTTGCCATCCAGAGTTTGACGACGACGGTGGTCGTGGTGATGACGATGCAAATAACAGCTTGAAGCCGCAACTAAACTGAATTACTTTGTCACTGGTTGAAACAGGAAGCTATCCAGCCTCTCATGTGAACAGGCAATATACTCAGCATGGGATATATGATGTAGTTCCGAGCAATTTGCACCCAGTTTGTTGGGGAGGTTTACCAAGGTCGCCCTCTCCTCTGACTTCAAGCTTGTTAACGTAGTAAGTCATTTTCTCATTCGATAATCTGAAGGACCTCCAATTCAACTTCTAAAGAAACAATCAACGTCTCTTCAAGATACGACATCAAATGGTTCAGAAAGTTGGCTGCGCACTTGACTTGGAGTCTCCGAAAAAACGCTAAAGGAAAGTGTCACCTTCTTGCTTCAGCATTACAAATGATAATATCGTAAGGATGGTAATCCCTGTTCTTCGGAACAATGTACCATTTTAAACGAGGAAAAGCTAAGTAAACGGCTTAACAATGCATACGAACCATGAGGTTTGAATTACTCCTACGTAACCCTAGCCGCGCAGTTCATCGCGACTGTGACAAAAAGTAACACTCCTAAAATTGTATTTGGGACCTTGACAGAAGGACGAAAAACAGAAGCGCACCTGGGGCTCTTCGCTTGGTACCCATGTTAATCCCCACTCCAGGCTCACCCTGATGTACCCCACGGATGTGTCGGTTGAGGTCCGACTTCTGAACAAAAGGCTGCTGACACTGTTGACACTCGAAGTTCCTTGCTGCCCGTTCGTGATGCTTCAAATGGTCCTTCAGTTTGTCCCTGGGAAAAAAATAAAAAGGGTGACGAAAAACGTAAGCAACGTAAGGAATCTGGGCCAAATGACTGTGCGGGACCAACACTGAGGAATGAGTTGGGAAACTCCCTGTGCTTATTCGAAGTGCTGGTGACTTCAGAAAGCCGTCACAGCTATGTTAAGTGTCAGGAGATTAAACGGACTACTGTGCGCGTTAATTGGGTAATGAAACAGACCCGAAACAACGAAACTTAATTGGGATGTGTCGGTGATCAAAATCCACTGAGTGACAGCAATGAGCCGTCTGTTAATGCTTACACAGGATGGCTCCCCTTGTTTCCTGATCAGTAGCAGTAAGCTTTGCAAAAAATAATAACTAATTACTTCTCAGCATTCCGCAACACTCAAGGTCACACGAAATAATCAGAGGCAATCGATGCCCGAGGTGTCACGCCAGTCAAACAATGTCCACTCAAGTTTGGGTGACGTCGCACCTTCTCCAGTCCTAGGAATTGTGGGAGCCAGGAAGCCCGACTTTGTGGGATCCAGCCAAAAAGGGTTTGGTTTACTAACTGCTCTCCAGCAAAGCGGCATACTTTCAGTATACTGAGAGAGCTTTAATCGATGGAGAAGAACTCGTGACGAGGAACCTTTATCGAGTTGCCGAAACATATCCACTAAGGGAAATTCCTTAAGACAGCTCCAAACGCTCACTTAGTGTTAATCGGCTGGGATAAGTGAAAAAACACGCAATAATACAGAGGTACCCAGACAGAAAAACCATATTTATTCTGCAGGTTTATAAAATGCACGAAACATCAACAAAGTTAGCAAGCAATAATGACTTCCCACAGCGGAATTCTCCGCTGGCAAAAGTTTTCCACTTGATGAAATAATTCTGTTCAACTTCGTGGTAATGTCAATTGATCAATCTGAGCGGGTCGTTATTCAATCCTACTGAAAAAGCCCATGAAGCAACCGCCGACCACCAAGTACGCAATAATAGAAAGAATTGAGTCAAACTTTCAGCTAGATATCACAGTAGTGATTGTTCCTGGAAACAGATTGTTGCAAATTTCAGGTATTTAGGTTCAATCTTTTCTAGACAGCCGGTGAAGTGCAGCAAGCTTAAGGGCAACGAACCCATACAGCAGTGAGTGGAACTGTGACAATGAATACCAGAAGAAAACCATTGCTGAAACCTATCAAAAAACTGAATCAAAATGGACGTAGACCAAGAGGCAGCAATCGTTACAAGAGCAAAAGCAGACCAGCATGAGAACTGTCACCGAAGAAAATCAAACAATAAGGCTATCTAATACATATACGCAGTGGGAAATTTACCAGGATTTATAAACTTTGCGTCGATAAGAGAATTAACGAACATAGCACGACGGGGAGATGTTCACCAATCAGTTCACAGTATCGATGTAACAGGAAGTAAAACAGCTGCTTGTTGCGTATGGTCGTCCGCATAGTGTTTTGCATTGGCAAAACACTAATACGTGGTCAGACATTCGAAATACAGGCTCCCTTGATCTACGGAAGTCCTGAGCGGGCCAAAGGTCTCCTCGTGTACCTCCAGTTCCCGTGGATCGTGTTCCACCAAATTTGACGTGACACAGAACTAACGTTTGCTCAGCATTCTGGTTGTTGTAGTTGTGAGGTATCCTGTAGTTTCCCGATGCTGTTTCCCTAGCCAGCTTCCTTTTGATTACCGGGTGATTTTCATCTCCTGGACCACTTGGTTATCGTTATCGGGTAGCAGTGTAAAATTATGTTCAAGACTCGTGCGCAGCTCCGCCGTATTCCACGAGCTGATAAAGAGTCTGACCGGTTATTGAATGTATCACGATCGAAGAAACAGACAGGAAGAGTTCCTTGTCCAATACGGGGGACATTGGTTAAACGCAGTTCACGTTCCAACAGTAGACGTCGTTTAGTAATTCGGAACGTAAAACTAGCTGCCTCCCTCATGAAGCGAATAAGGGCGCTCAGGAAAGGTGAATGCCAACATACGAATGGGTGCGTGCGACAGAAAATACCAAACGTCTGCGAGGAGCATGTTACCAACGGGAGGAACAACCAACAAAGGGATATGGTAAGTGTGACAGGGTTCCGAGTGATGGTATGGTAAAAAAAGTGGCAACACGCCCATCTAGGGATAGGAAGAGCTACGAATGAATGCACACATGTGCACAGAAAAGTTTTACCGATAGTGTAGACGGGGAATTGATCAGCAAAGTTACCCACACAGGGTGAACCCAGCCCGATCAATCCAGCCATGCAGACTGGTGGAAAGAGAAAAAATTCCATACACACACGGCATACACACAACCGTAGCTGCATATTGCACTCGAAAGAATAGACTACACACATCCCTACCACAAACACAATGTGAAAACAGTTAGACAGCAACACGAGGATACACACGCACATGGCTTTGGTACAATGCACACACAACGAATATTTCTCCCGATCAGTCACCGAAGTTTGATTGCAGCAAGGTAGTCGTATAGTGGCTGTGCATCCCCTAACAGGGGTTAATACTAGGGGTTATTACAAATGTCATTTCTGTAATCACATCCTGGAAGCGCATGAGCCACTATTGAGTGAGCGGGGAAGACGTTAAAGGCGAAAAAACGCTGGGAAAAATAGCAAGACTAGATAAAACCGCTCGACCAAAAGCTTACGGAAAAAACTGAACGGGATTCGGTTACTGGTGTTAAATCTGAAAACCGCCATAGGGCTCTAAGGGAACCACCCGTCATTCACTGCGGCTTTGGTAAGCTAATCTCAGTCACCTCTCGTTTACCGGTACGAATTAAATCATTTCTAACAAGATAAATAACGTATTCCATCTTTTATACTTATCAGATGGAGTTCCTTCACACAACAACATCATCGAGAGGCACCTGTTTCCGGACCTATCTCCCGCTACAGTTTTCAGCAACGAACGGTACAAACTAGGGGCATTCAGATATCGCTAAATACTGCCAACCTGTTGGTACGGAAAGTATCTTCCATATTATGTGTCTTAGAACTGGCTTCAATCATACATAGTCTTTTTCCGTCCTCTTCCGTGCTCTTCCAGAATGGAGGACAGAGTTCAGGGAAGCTCTCACACACTCCCTGCCCCCATATGCGGATCACTATATCAGGGAAGCTCCCACACACTCCCTGCCCCCATATGCGGATCACTATATCATGGGAACAAGTAAGCCACATCGCCATTCTGGTATTTAGTAAAAAAAATTCTGTAACCGATCAGACAGCCCTAGGTGGTTCGAAAAACAGCCTCCTGAGTTACAGCCAGATTAGATTTAGAGATCACTTTGATAACTTTACGGCCTCTCATCAATTACGATACGACAAGCGACTACGAGTTTGGAAAGCACGACTTAGTGAACTAGACTGACCGTCAACTGACAAATCACTCAACTGAGGTACGTGTTGTCGGTGATCTCTCCTAGATCCACAAGGCCGACGCAAGTGTTCTCCAAGGTTTCGTTCTTTTCTTCTTCTGTTTCCGGTTGCATCCACCCATGTGCAGATGATGTTATCCTTCACTTTTTCCCTTCAAATTTTCCATTTCAGTTTAGTAGAGATCGCGTGCATAAACTCACACCAAACGCCGATTTCACGAACGTTCATGTGGGACTTTTGGAGGGTGGCTGCAATAAATCCTACCTAACCCATACAGGCTTTTTCTTCCATCCGCCAGATTAACTGCAAACTGAGTCTCTCCTCATTCCAAACAAGACCCGGGTATCCTACTCATTCCAAGCCTCAATTGCTGAACAAAACTGTTTTGCTTCATGGTCTTCCCGAAGACTGCTTGACCCTGGAATTCTCTTCCATCTGCACTTTCTCACAAGTTTTATAAACTTTAGATTTTTGAGATTAACGTTCATTTATCCAAACTCCCATGAAGCCCATCGATACACATGTCTTGTTGTGACTACCTACTATTGCCAATTTACCCGGTAAACAGAGATACCGCAGTGGAAATATTTTTAAGAAAGTTGAAGTGAATCCTCGTAAAGATACCCCAAAAATGAATGCCCTCCTGCTGTTGGATATTCAAACAAGTGCACTATCAACTGGCGTGCTCTACTCACATCAACTTATACATATACTACGTCATCGCTGTGACCACGGTTTGAAGAGCCAATGGCCGCGCTAACAGATGTTCCCACTGCACATCTTAAAGAAGACATTTATTTTAATTCACTACATACAGTAAGGGTAGAGAGAGGGAACGTGATATTGAAACTACATCTGGAGCTGGTAACGGAGAGGCAGACGTATGACGATGATAAGTGAGACTCACTTTCGGGAAAATGCCTTGGTACATATACCACAAACATGCGGTTTTTCCGTCGTGTGAATGGACATCACGTGACGTTTCAGTTTATCTTCTCTGACAAAACACCGACCACACGTGTCGCACGTATGCTTCGGTTCGTCGTGCATAATTCGGTGCTTCAAAAGCAGCGCCTTCTGGGAGAAGACACGATTGCATGCAGAACAAGGGAAGTCACCCTTATTGTCCAGGCGTTCCCAGTTAGTTGAGGGCGCAATATTTACTGCCGATGTGGTCGTCTGCGAGTCTGGCGCTTCATCCATGCCGTTCGGGGATATATTTTCAGAAGACTGAATGTTCGCAAATGAAGATATGTGATGTAAAGAGGAGCAGATAGAAAAAAAATGATCAAGAAATGAACGACTATCCAATTGGTAACATGCTGATACCTCGTTGTAGACTAGGAACAAAAGCCAACAAGAATACAGATCATGTGTATCGCTCCCATCTACAAACAAGACAAACGGGTGACGATATATTTTACAAGAAAAGTAATCCTTTGCCGGCGTCTCGTGGCAAAATAAAATTTCTGCCTACTATTGTCAAAATAACCCCAATATGTCTATGACCTGACACTAAGTTCTGGCACATCTGACGATAGACTCAAGCTTCACAGGCAATTTCCCACATAGGCTGAAATTTGAGACAGCTAAATAACAGTGAAATTTAGGCTGAGTGGTTAGAAAGTCAGGATGACCAAACAGATAATTACATGTATCGTGAGACAATCCAGGTGAGACTAAAATTCTCTTTAGTTTTACGGGACACGTTATTGCAGTCCCGTGATCAATAGACGTTTGCCCACGTGGTTCACGAGCATGCCAGCTTTACCGTGCAAGGATAGAGTGAACTTTCCAATTGGCCGACAAATAAATCACTGCTTCTGGTCACGTGCTCGGAATTAGATTATTTCGTCCGGACAACTGGTAAGGGGAAAAAACAAGCCCTCCGACAGTCGGCAAAGTCGATGGCCGCCCGAATGAGCACTGAACCGTCTCGGTGAGACGTACAGTTTATTGCGTAATTGAACTCGTAATCACAGCTGACGGCACAATAAGACTTAGGAAGCCTTGGGACTGGTTCAAAGAGGAATGGATAAACAATGCCCTTTTTATTGCATCAAACATGGAACATCCTATCACACGTGACGGATAACTTCAAAACCATCTGAATCAGGAGTGGCCTCTGGGACAAATGTATGATCTCTTCGCGTTTTAAAAAAATCACACAACCGAGGTAGAACAAAGAAACAGTGGTTTCTCAGTTGCTTTCTCCACAAAAGAACCTCCTCATAAAGAAGACACTTCACCACCATCATCATGAGAAACAGCAACATCCCAGTCTCGTGAGGTTTACTAATCGACTGTCAATGCCCCGTCAATGACACGATAGGAAAATCTGTCACTTTTGAACCTGTACTTTTCTTTTTTCAGAAAACAGAGGACGAAAATTGATTTGTTAGGCAATAGTACGCTAAGAGCTAAAAAGCTAAGCATAGCTCTACTGATAACTACTGTTGGGTCTTCCTGGTACTGCTCAGAAAGTGACACTTCCGCGAAAAGGGATAGTTCAGGAGCTCACGAAACAATACGTAAAGATTTGAGCTCTGATCGACACAAGGAGCACCTACAAGCTAAACTGCCCGACGAACGTTCAGTTATGTAACTAATAATCCGGTTACATAGTCGGCGTCCGTAGACGAACAAATTAAGATGAATATAACATCCCATTGCTCTAAGGCTGAGTGACTTTGGTACAGTTGAATACTGCATGGGTTTAACTTTTCCATGAGTTTATTGCAGGCAAATTCTGCTTAACCACACTCAAGCATAAAGCAATGACCCTTTTTTGGAACTATCTATCAAGTGGGCTCTTTAAGGCAAGTGCAAATCGAATATTCTGATGATGCAAGCATGGAAGAATATCCCACGATGCTAACAATTAAGAATAAATTCAACCAGTCTCAAAAATATCCTCTGTGCATTTCATCGGCGAATGTGACGAGGTGTAAGTTAATCTTTCTACTCTTGGATGGCGTTAGAATACGAGGGGTGCAAAAATCGACAAATATGCCAACACTGATTTATCAATCTACATTTATTATTCCATCGGATATATTGTCCTTTACGTGATCATGACAAATGAAACAGTAAACGACGAGAAAAAAACAGACCGATTTTATGACCACGGGGAAAAATTTCGAGTGCCTGTTTGAATTAGATAGACGTCGCGAATGAACTCGGAATTGAAGACCCTTGTAGGATTCTACGTTTATCGCCCATTGCGCGGGGACATTTCAAACGGGATCAACTAGGAACAATGATTTAATATATAGTAGATATAGAATGATACGTAAAAGTTAATACTTTGCCTGAATTTCATTCAGTGTCGTGGAACTAGAGATTTGGTCCAAACTCCGAATCGGGGTCTGTTTTCCACGAAGGAATCACTTTGATCAGGTCTAAAGGTGGTCTCTAGTGAGGGGCTACTGTATTATGCGCTTTGGTAAGCAGTCGCCAAACTGTAATAGATGTGATTAGAGTAGATCTGAGTAAGTTATGCCTGAAAAATGGTGAACCTGGCACTTGTTTTTTAATGCTGGTAGTCCCCCTTTAAATTTCAGGTTATGGAACAAAGAAACGTCTCATCACAAGGGATTTCGAGTTTCTTCAGCTCACAAGCGAAGTTGGCGTTGTCGTAAAATTCTCCAAACACAAAAGGTGCGGGATCTTCAACCATCTAAATTGACTGTCCAATGAACTGACGTAGCTGCGTCGGTTCACATCATTAATTCCAGTCTCAGGTATCCGACCCCATCACTACGACGATATACTAGGCTATCATACCTCCTCCTGATAAGCCTGTTTCAAACAGAATATCGTAGAAATTGTTGTTTACTGTGTCTTCACATGTAGATAAGTATAATGCGAAACAATAAATGTATGCGATGTCAAGACGCTTTGAAATTTGTAGTTTCTAAGCTCCGACTTACTGGCCTTAACCGCTGACCTAATTCAACTTTTTATTCAGTCCACCTAGAGATATTGAACTCCAAGCTCAGTACCACAAGCCAGGCAATAAGAATTTTGATGACTGATCATCAGACGATCTTTTACTGCTTGTCTTTTCGAAATTCGAGAATCTTACGGAAGTTTGAGTATAACATGCGTCTGTTGAGCAACACAGTGCAGAAAGTGGCGGAAGCTGAAAAGCAGAGGCATATTTCATAGACAGGATTAGAGCCAAACCATAATAAGCGTTTGGCTGTTCTCTGCTGTCCACTGCCGTGCGACAGATTCAGATAACAACCTCAGCGACTCTGTGTAGTTCAATTCAATCCGTTGTGGTATACTTAGGTGGGCATTCCGACCCCGACTTACGCAGTCACCAAATCAGCGCAGCTACGTTGGTTCAGAAGACAGTCAGTTTGGTTGGTGTAAAACTCCGAATCTTTTGCGTTTGGAAATTTTTACTGTGACTTTTTGTTTCCCTTCTTCCGATTTTCAAGCGACATCTATAGGCGTCTCTGGGTCTGTTTTCCACGAAGGAATCACTTTGATCAGGTCTAAAGGTGGTCTCTAGTGAGGGGCTACTGTATTATGCGCTTTGGTAAGCAGTCGCCAAACTGTAATAGATGTGATTAGAGTAGATCTGAGTAAGTTATGCCTGAAAAATGGTGAACCTGGCACTTGTTTTTTAATGCTGGTAGTCCCCCTTTAAATTTCAGGTTATGGAACAAAGAAACGTCTCATCACAAGGGATTTCGAGTTTCTTCAGCTCACAAGCGAAGTTGGCGTTGTCGTAAAATTCTCCAAACACAAAAGGTGCGGGATCTTCAACCATCTAAATTGACTGTCCAATGAACTGACGTAGCTGCGTCGGTTCACATCATTAATTCCAGTCTCAGGTATCCGACCCCATCACTACGACGATATACTAGGCCTGTTTCAAACAGAATATCGTAGAAATTGTTGTTTACTGTGTCTTCACATGTAGATAAGTATAATGCGAAACAATAAATGTATGCGATGTCAAGACGCTTTGAAATTTGTAGTTTCTAAGCTCCGACTTACTGGCCTTAACCGCTGACCTAATTCAACTTTTTATTCAGTCCACCTAGAGATATTGAACTCCAAGCTCAGTACCACAAGCCAGGCAATAAGAATTTTGATGACTGATCATCAGACGATCTTTTACTGCTTGTCTTTTCGAAATTCGAGAATCTTACGGAAGTTTGAGTATAACATGCGTCTGTTGAGCAACACAGTGCAGAAAGTGGCGGAAGCTGAAAAGCAGAGGCATATTTCATAGACAGGATTAGAGCCAAACCATAATAAGCGTTTGGCTGTTCTCTGCTGTCCACTGCCGTGCGACAGATTCAGATAACAACCTCAGCGACTCTGTGTAGTTCAATTCAATCCGTTGTGGTATACTTAGGTGGGCATTCCGACCCCGACTTACGCAGTCACCAAATCAGCGCAGCTACGTTGGTTCAGAAGACAGTCAGTTTGGTTGGTGTAAAACTCCGAATCTTTTGCGTTTGGAAATTTTTACTGTGACTTTTTGTTTCCCTTCTTCCGATTTTCAAGCGACATCTATAGGCGTCTCTAGATGTTGCGAGATTTGACAATCACGAACCACGGACTTATGCGCGGCGGCTGGGGCAATGGCACCTTGAGATAACTTACGTCAGGTTGGCAGAAGTGGGTATGTGGAGCACGGACAGAAAATAAAGTAGTGGGTTAACGATTACGGATAGGATAAACGCAATAGCTCAGCTCGTTTCGACACACGTGTCGATGAGTACTTTTAACCAGTGATGTGGTGAGCCTCTGATATATCGATCTCGTGGATTGCACACACCAGTGCAACTAAGACCTATTGTTGTTTTTCACGTCCAGCCCCAAAGTAATGCGTTGTCCGCCTTCTAGTAGCTGCAATTCGGAACCTGTTTGGGTAAACAAGGCACGGGAAGGTGACTAATTACCTAGTATAAGATACACACGATGCAACCATCACTAAGTGGTGTGGTTCACTCAAATCATCCATTGGACAAGCATCTGATTTGACGATGGGTTGAACGCTGAACATTGTAACCTTGTTGCGACAAAAGGCAGCGGAATCTGCAAAATCGGGGAAAAGCCAAAATGAGCTACCAGTATTCCCTTCCATAAAACGTATGTGATCTGTTGCCAAATTCCATTTGTCCACCTTCCGCATTGTTGATCTGATGGTCGCACGACGTATGTGCAATGTTTCGAACGAGCCGATGGTCAAACACAAGCCGACTTTCTTTGTCCCCAGCACACAATGCTCAGGCCCCACAGCCCTAAAGCAACACTGGACGATCTATCCCGTTTTAGACCCAACTTTCCATCATGAGTCTGGTGATACCGGTGAAAGGAGGGAAGCCCTCCGCCGCGATGTTGTTTCTTAGCAAACACGAACTAAGCTACTACAGGCCATCAGATACGAAAACAAACATCGCGTCAGAATAAATGTTTTGAAGAGCGAACATTATCAAGCATCTTGAACTTTCGTGGACCTTTGTTGAACAGTAAGCAGTAGTAAACGGACACTGTAAAGCGATTCTGAAATTTATGTAGTCAACTTCACGTTCCATCGGATGTGGGAGCGGAGCTCAGAACTGTTCGCCGTGCTTGGCAATCAGCTTGCAAACACTTCATCCCAACGCGCAGCTGAGCGAGCACTTCCTCCCTACTTGTCTGCGTTTATAACTTTCGTAGTTGCTTTACAGGTCTGTGCTTGCAACAAATACATGTTAATCAGCATACAGTTATGAGTTGTGTTCACCAGTGTCAGTTCCGAGAGTACCCACAGCAAATCCTATAGGAAGACGGTTGTTGTACCTGTTGATTCTTTAAACTGCGCATTTGGATCGTCAACCACGATACGGATATTTGAGGTTTGTCATCCGGAAGAGTTCGGAAAGGTTCGCGAAGGGTTTCTTTGACAGTGTAAATGCAGTGGCTTTCTGAAGACATGTAAAGATCATAAAAATGTTTCGGATACTGGATTGTTTGCTTAGGATACCGGTAGATTGCTGTCGCATTTGGTCTCCAAAGTGATCGCGACACTTCTGACCTATGTTCAGTCTGTTAGTGCCATTAGTGGCGTTCTCGCGAAACCTCAACAGTAGGTAAGACGTCGAAAGCGTTTAGCCACTGAAAGGGCTCGTCCGGATTGATATACAAATAAACTGGTCTGAAATACGGCTTAGGATTAGTCACATCTCCGTTTCACCTACATAAAAAACTATGCAGCTGAGAACTACGAACCTAGTCCCTGCGGCCTACCCAAAAAGTGAGCAAACTCATTTATCAACAAAGCCGCAGTTTACCGGCATATGCAATCACCAGTCAGTGTTGCCTGACCCAAATCCACAATCCATGCGAAGCATGAAGATTCGAAGACATCATACAACGTTTATACGTTCACAATTAGTTTCTGCTCATTATTTACGAAGGGCCCAAGTAGGCCAAGTAAACGCCTACCAACTTGAACCTATCACCGTGAATATCAGTGAGCAAGCTACTTGAATAGGGGTACGCGAACGAAGGAGTCCCATCACCTTTAGCTGGGGAAACAAGTCTTTCTGCTGAAACCATGCAGAATACTAGTTTAGAGACTCACGCCCACAAGCAGGTCCCGAACTGCTACTGCGGTGACTGGACAAGCTTGTGACATAAGTGACAGTGGATGGTCACTGAGTCCCCATCCCACTTGGTGGTCTAATTCATGATGAGGTCGAAGTAATGAAGCACACAAATACTAGGAGAAGTGTATGGCCCAGGAAAACATCGGGCCACAAAACATATCAATTCGAGATAATAATGATAATACTGGTTAATCAGCTTACCTCCTTTGAGTTGTGCGAAGAGACGGTATTGTGCAGTGCCGAGCTGGAACCATTCACACTTGCTTCAAGCCCAGAATTTGATAACACTGAGCTCGTATTGATCGGAGCTAGACTGAGGGTGAGAATCCTATCAGTTCCAGTCCCTTCGAGAGATGGGTCGACCTCCAGAGCTGGATCCGGCTTTCTATTTCCAGCAAGCGCGTAGACCACGTCTTCTACAGCTGCAACGGCTGCGGAAACATACTCTGCTTCATCACACGCTGTATCTTCATCTGGATGATCACCATTGTTTACAGTATTGTTTGGAATAGGACTGGGTTCTTCTGCAGTTGATATGAGAACGTCTATGTCACTGATATCATTCGATTTCGAGGCGTCTCTGTTCAGAAAGCAAAGTTCACCTGAATGCGAACCCAGAGTATCCGGTGCATGGCTGTTGAGGAAATTCAGTTGTGAACCGGGCGAATGCACGAGATCTGATTGTGCTGGTCCCGAACCGGAATAGGGAGAGTTATTGGTGGTCGGGTTCATCGGAGAATGATCACAGGTAATATTTCTGTTCTCTGAATTTACAGCAGGTTGAGTCTTGTTAGCATTGCTATCCATATCGCCAAACTGGTGGTCGACGGCTGGGATGGATGGGACACTGTTGTCAGTGGAACGAGAGGGTGTATTTCGCCCGCCCAAAGTATGTAAATTAGAGGAAGGGTACACAGGAGTGTCGCAGGAATTTCTCGGTGGTTTATTATCAACAGTTGCTAGGGTCATTTTGTTTGTCAAGACAGTTTCGGATGTCACTAGTGCTGCGATCCGAGTTGGTGATTCTGTTTTTAGCGGTAGTGTGGATGTGATGGGAAAGCAGTCATCATGTGGAAAAGGGGATGAAACAGAAGTAGTAGGAATATGCGAATTTGGGCCCACGGTATTCGGGGATATACCCTGCTTATCGGAAAGAACGGTTGTGGGAAGAAGTAAAGGTGATGTCGGACACGCCCAAGTGCTATCCGAAACTGCCGTCGTAGCTGCAACACTACGAACAACTGAAGCATCAGTAACACGACCAAAATTTGGTTGAGAATAATGCGAGGGAGCAGTGGGAAATGATGAACATGTGGTGGTGGCCACCGTCTCTGCTGAATGTCGTTGATTCTGGCATGGGACATCAAAATCGACAAAGCTCTGTTTGGGATGGGGTTGTGGTGGAGTGGATAAGGTAGACGGTGAACTAGTTTCACGAACAAAAGTACTGTTACAGATGAATGGATCACGGCTAGGGCTAGGAAACTTTATGGAACTAGCTAGAGAATTGGTGTGCAACGGTGAATCTCTAGAAGTTGGAAGTATACGACATTCTGAGGTCAATGAAGAGGATATGGTGAAAAACTGAGAGGCGGGACTTGATACACCAAGGGTTGACGTGTAATTCTCCATAGCATTATTTGGACTGAAACCACCAATTGATGTATTTGAAGGGATCAGTTGAAGGCCAAGTGGATCTTCTGCCTTCGCCAAGGCGGCCGCTGTGGAGTTGAGGCGAGAAACAAGTAGTGCTGCACCACCAGCAGTGTGCAGACCATGTTCACTGCGTTCCACATTGGTCTTCACACTCCCATCTAGCTCGACATCTAGTGGGCGACAAACCCTGGTATCAGGTGGAGTATTCAGACCAGAGGACGAAGATCGCAAATGAGGTGACCCAGGGGAAACGGAAGCGGCAACAGCGGCCGCTGCTGCTAGGAGAGAGCGCATATCGTCATCGTCATCATCCATTAGTGGGGATCCTCCGATCGGCTTCATCGACGGCAAATCAAAATCATCGGTGAAGTGAATCAAGTGAGCTGCATGAGAAGCTGATGAGGGTGTGGAGAAGGAAGTGGGACGTGAGGACAAGTGTGTGGAGAGATTCACATTCATAGGATCTTGTTGCTTCACAACAGATTGGAGTGGACCGGAAAGAGTTAATTTCGGGGTAACATGTCCAGATAAGGAAACTGGGTGAGTATCCGTTGGAGTAGTGCATGGAATTCCGCCATCTGTCACGTTTCGACTGGCTTTTACCTGAAATCACACGAGAGAGCGTAATCGAATTGGGAAAATGTGGTCAATAGTGGCGATTTAATAAGACAACTATTTGTGTGAGAAACGATCAGAAAATCAAAGGGCTTTTCAAAGAAGTTAGAACCACGTGAGATACGTAGGGAATACGCGACTGACTACGGTACGTCGGCCAACAACTGGCGATATGACGATATTTCATTGACAGGCCCGAAGCTGTCAACTACCCAACGCAAATGTTCCCTTTGTCCCGCAAAAAAGGGGACTAAAAATAAGTTTCCTGACCGTCGATCGGTCGTGAGTGGTGAGTCTCAGTCAGTTGAAGACAAGTGCAGAACGACAATGTATTGGCAACAATCAACGGGCGCAGCGTTTCCCGTACAGGAAACGGCAAACGCAATTGGAGTAAACCAGTGAAACGAAAACGAATAGCCCACCAAATATAGGAGGAGAAAACATCGAACGCGGAAAAATTCCGCAAAACACCATCCAGCCGCGGCATCCATAACTGTCATTCAACCAAAGGAAGCTTAGATGAAAGCAAGAAGGGTCAATTGTGAGCTTGGTCGGAAACTCGCATCACCATTTCCAGTCGTGTCGTGTGCATAATGCAGATAATATAATGCGTCATCCCCGAATATTGTTGTACCTCCTCTTACAAGTTCACATAATATTGAGGTCTGCTACTAGCATCGAGATGAATTGTCCCAAAGGTAGCGTCAGCTTTCAGCTGGTCGTTGCCGTCCCGACCTGGAACAAGAAATCTGTATTGCCGCGAGAATTTAACTAGCTGAATGTATCAGATCATACAGTCTAGGGTCGAAGAACGCTGGTATGTGCATCTGGTATCAAAAGCTAATTATGAGAATCTAAGATCAGCCGTCGGCAACCTCCGCAGCTAACATCATTGAAGGATACCTAGATTACTGTGCCTTATGGTGTCCTGTTGAGGTGGGTGATAAAATTGCACCCAAATCTTTCCGAGTCAACCGAAAATACAGGTTTCAGCGGAAGTTTCCATTCGCTTATGTCACTCACTTTGACTAAACAGAATTCCATAGATACTCATTGGTTCCACATTTCTAGCAGTGAGGCATATACGAATGCACCGACAGTCAGTAGTAGATACCAAATGACTAACTATGAACGAGTCATCTTTGTTCCACGAAGCAATACTCCAATGAGAACTTAAAAATACAATTTTACGTTAAACGTGGACTTCAATGTGTCCGATATCTACTTATAGTAACTCCAGTCCGTGACACGTGTGAAATGGCACAACCGTTGTACACGTAACCACGGTGAACCTATAGACCAAAATCCAGCAGTACCTGGTGCTTGGCTTGATGATGAGCACGCAGTGTTTAACATGATATTTGACCGACAAAGTTGATGAGTATGATGAGGTTGTTCTCCGAGGGCTGTAATGGGGATAGCCCGTACATCATAGACTGTTAGTTCCAAGATGTCGAAACGTGCGAAGGCGGTACACCTTTGCCATTGAGTAGTACACACAACGAGGAAGGAATCAGTCATTACATATAGTACGATAGGATAATGTAAACTCAACACCATACCAACAATGGGCTGGTTTGCCTGTAAGTAGGATATTACCGGCATAAAAATCGTGGATATTTTAATCGGCAGTTCCTTCAGTTAAGTAAAAAAACATTCCCCCTTCCCCATTTTCGCGCGATTTGAACTTTGTCAGAATGGAGACCGGAAGTCTGGAACGTGTTAAATCCCTCGTGATATTAGCGAAAAACGTGCATTTGCAAACAAATTTGGTTCCGCGAGAGACTCACTTGGAACTTAGCTGATGTCGGATCCTCGGTTGTCGGCGGTAATTTTTCGCGAAGCAATAATTGATTTCATTTCCATAAAGGAAGTTGACCTCGGTAATTACACACAATGGCCATGGAGCTGGGAAATTCCTTTATTTTTAGTGTGCAGGATAACGTGTAAGACCGTAAGGTTCGAGATATGCATACGATGCATATAACTTCTCAGTAGAGTGATTTTTCGACAGTTGCATGATTGGCTGGGGAGCGGTTGTTCATTACTAGAAGCCGATAACCTTATGTTCTGTGTCGCTTGGTAACCCAAAACTTGCAATGAAGCAGCTATTCCGGAGTGAGAGGGCTCTAAGAGTGCCCCGAAATGTGTTACGAGGAAGCGAATTGCCAAAGGCTAAACAACCCTATTGACGCGTATATGCTAGTTTCCCCTAAAAGGTACCACCCACGGGGCGTGATTACAGTAATGGTTTCAAAGGAAGGTCACTGTTCAAAAAGATCGATGAAACGCCTAATTGTACGTGAGGACCGAACGAACCTTAATTGAAATATTCGCTGTTGTCCGTCCATCATTCATATCCTCCATTCATTTGACATCATTAGGAATGTAATCCCCACACAAATAAACTTAATCTTACTGGGGACCCAAATACTCAATTTGTTGTTGGAATCTCACTGAGTAAAGCAAAAACCATGCGACCTTTCATCGAATGATTGAGCCCACGATACCAAGTTTTCACAGTATTGACAGGAAAAACTATGCTAAGCGCCCTTCGGCTCTGTTGAACCCTCATGACTGATAGTATTATGCAAAGCTACGGAACCGTCTTGTTTCACGGAAAATTAGGCTGTCAAGCGAATTAAACAGTTTCAGGAATGCGCACCGGAGATAAACTGCAGAGCCGAATTTAAGGGGTTTGAATATTCCCTTTTCAGGTGCAAAGAAATCAACTGTCACGGCGAACAGCTTTCGCATTTTTCCCAATTCCTGGAAAGATGTGGTGACTGCTGGAGGTAATAGGCCGGAAATAGCCGAAATTTTCCGATCCATTCCGAGTTAGGTTGTGGTCCGCCAATTATCTGAATCCGCGGGACTTAAGCAAAGCAGTTCTCCTACGTCGGGAGTCCCCGCCATAGGATACACATGGAGGGCAACTGTATTAGCCTGCAGCAGCATTTTGAAAACCGGACAGGACAACGCCAGAGAAAGAGCTAAATTGAGCTAGATCCACTCTACATGGAACCTAGGACTGCACTCCTTATGTAGGAGATATGGGTTGCTGTTGAATGTAATTAAAGTTCTCAGTGCAGACATTTAAGTAAAGTCAAATAAAAAACAGATTGACAACGATTAAAGGTGGGACATCTAGTTGCGTGATGAAGCCACCAAGAATACACACGAACAACTGAGATACACAAAATATGATCCAGTGATACCTCATTGCAATCATCCGTCATGCATTAACGGATTTCCTAGGGTTCTCTGCCGTGTAAACGACAGCATACTTTTCGACACGACTTTTCACTGGCGGTCACCCCAAAAGACAGCGATGCATCCTGTGTGTCTTTGAAAGTTTCTTTACGTCTTTTGCTAACGGAATAACATGCATTTTCAACTTTCAGAATGGGGATCGGCAGCCAATTTGAGGGGATCCATGCAAGGCCTCGAAACTGGGTTGTTGGTATGAAATGACACTGGGATACCCGATTCGCAACATATCCTACTCTGTAAAATCTAACGAGCGAGCTGAAAGATTGACAGAAGCAAGGATGAACCACTACCAACTGGTGATAAAAAGAGTAAAAAAACAGTTCACCACAGGTGAGCAGTCATCAAGTTGACAGGTCTCCCAGATTGAGACACATTGCGTTTTCCATACGCTGAATTCAAAGGCTACCAGTGTATGATGTTCACCTACCACTAATATCATGTGGTTAGACAGTCTAAGGCTTGTGATAGTGCAAGGTACATGAAACCAATCATTTGGATATCCCTCCTAAGCCGAAAGTAGTCGTTAGTGTTCGTTGGTTTGGTGCACTTTCATTCCGGTCTCAGCTCACAACAGTCACGTAAATTTCGACTCCATGTACATCGCTGGCTTTATGTCCTGGGACTCATCTGATTTTTGTGATTGCATAGTAATGGAGTATTAGGTGAAATTAACAGTACCGAAATTGGTAGATAATGTAGTATCCATCAGGTTTTCTCGAGATGATAGTAAAATGATGTTATATATGGAACAGAAGATTCAGCATGGATTAAATCACTATAAGTTACAGCATCAAACAATGACTACTTTTTTGTGAGAAAGATTGTCACTAAAAGAATTCCGATAGTTTGTAAAAAGAAGTTTAAAGGATATTAATGAACATACTGCTGAGCAAAATGTGGCTATCTAAGTGGACAGCCCAAAACTCACCGAGAAAATGGTCTCCATTGACTGATGATCACATTGGAAAGAGAAAGCTGAAACAAGACAAACAGGAGGTCTAAAAAAGACATGTGAGCATAATCCCTTAGATTCTGCATAGGACAGACCAGATTGCTGGCTACTGATAGCACTAGATCTACACATGTAATGTCCAACACGAAGAAATCGGACATTACCAAGGCGTGACGGTTTGTGAGTCTTCGTGACGCACTGAGCAATACTGGACGGTGTCCGCACGACACTCCCCGGGTCTCTCATTCCCAGTTGGTCATTGGTTATATCTCTGACTAACAGTCTCCTGAACCTTCAGGTTGAGAGTTGGAGAATATGTGACGTATTCCCTAAACGATGTAATGCACTTGTAGTTCCCTTAAAAAAATGCTACTTCGCAGCAAGGATTTTGGGCCAAACGTTCTGATCGAAGACCCTAATCGTCCTCCTATGTAGGTCTAGGCTCCCTGGCAGCATCACAAGACACGTACAAATATGTTTCTCTTTCACATACTTCTTCGTTCGTTTATCCCACTCCATTAATAAATCTCTCCTTGCACGCCCACCCGTTAGGACTGACGACCCGTCGGCCTTGCAGCGCTCTTAGCCGCAACATCTGTGGTTCAGCCGGCACCGACAGCCTCAGGCACCTAAGGTCTTCGATTCACACCCGGGCTATTTGGCCGCTTCTAAGCTTCGCACTCCAAAGTAGGCAGCATAAGCTGTCCTTGGTTTCACACACGTTTAATATTGATGTGATGTGTATCAGAAGCGGGAACTTTGA